CATATTTGAGTAGAAAGTATATTTTTGTTTCAGGGAAAAAAGTTGGTAAAAACTAAGGTTTCTTTMATTTTTCAATGTAAGTATGTTCTTCCATGTCTACAAAGCTTGGGTGTGGTGATCTAATTGTTCTTTGTAGGTACTGCTCAATAAACAATAYTGTGGAATASYSCWGTTCATTACAGAAKTTGTTGYATATTGYAYGTATATAAATGATGTGGATGTCRCAAATGGATTAAAAAGGTGGTTGTTTTAAATACTGGTGCAGGAGTAGAGCTGAGAGACCCTGCACAAGCAGAATTATTTTCATAAATGCATTTTAAGTGCTCATAGTTAAGGCAAAATAYTGTGTACCATCAGATTATCAGAAATCTCAAGGAATGCTTCTGCTCTCAAGGGCATACTGATCATTGCTCTCTGCTTATTAACATACATATACCTTGCTGTTTGTGCTCTCATTTGTAYTATGGAAAACAACCTTTGACAGCTCATTTTCCTCTGCATTTGTAGCCAATGAGAAAAATTAGCAGCAAGTAAGAGCTAATTTTGCTCATGTTAGGAACAAGGCATTGCCTTCTGTATACAAAATAAGTTATCTCAAAATATATMTATATWTTTAAGGTACTACTGGTGTCTTTTGTTCTTTTGCCTTCTGAAGAGAGCCCCAAGTATAGAGGCTCTGATGGTTTTTGTTGTATGGTAACTATCCTGGTTGCAATGAAAGAATTCTCTGCTATTTCTTTTTGTCCTTTAAAGCTCTTTATTTTTGGGTGTCTCCTTTTCTATTAATAGCTTACATCAGTAACACTAATATCTTGTTGCCTAGTCTTTTTAATAGCAAGAGCAGCAAAGGTGATGCTGCCAAGATTATTGTGCTTTCTGGAAGTCTTGAAGAGCCCCATAGAAAACAGTTTGAAACTTCCTTCCCACTGTTGCTGCTTAGGAAAACCTCGATCATGACAAAACAGAAAAAAAGTACAGCATGTTTTCAACTTACAAGGTCTCCCTGCCAAGTGCAGTGATGAGAAAGGACAATATTTCATAARGAAACTTTGTCCCCAGTAATCACTGCCTTATTGTTTCTGTCCATCAGACAAAGATTGTCATAGTCCCAAGGCTAATTACATAACAGATAATCAGCTTTTGCACTCACTTCTCTCAGTTTCCATCTGAATTTACTGAATTCATTTTTATAATTATTTCTATAAAATTGGCCTGTTCTGCTTGTT